TATTACAAGTATTTAATATGAATTTATTTCCTAGCCCTCCCCTTTTGTCATTCCTAGATCCGTCCCTGATGAAATCTATTTAATGTGTTTACACCATCATTGACTGAACCTGACATTATGAAATATTTAATATTGAACGACAAAGATTTATGGTCTAATAATAATAGAGAACATTTGAGCTCGATTTCAAACAACGACATAAAAGACCCGTCGAAATCCATTGCGATTGATTTTGACGTTTAAAACCGTCCACCATTTATAATTCAATTGTTCTCGGTAAATCACCTCTCTAACAAATCAACTTTAGACTTGGAACGGGATACGCAAGACGACTTTCTGAGTCTAATATTTCCTATGGATAGATAGAAAAAAATATATAACTCATCGTGACGTTTTTGTGTTGTTCATTGCTCATTTGGAGGTTCAACTATGTCTCACAAATATAATATAAGCGACAAATTATAAAAATGAACAATAAATCACTGATACTCCCATGAAATGCGATGTGCTATATTTTTGCAACATGAATTATTGTACAACCCGTGTAGAAAATAATATACTTCCTGACGTCATGGACAATATAACTTTTCGGTACTCAATTTATCCAAAATATTGAAATGTACAGTTCCACGAAAAGGTTAAAAGAGTTTCACCGTATATTCATCCTTTCCTACATATACATAATACACAGTTGAGATTTTTGTAAACAATTAGAGAATCAATAATAATATTGGATCGGTTAAAAAAATACTAAAAATACATATATTATTTTGTATCATAAAAGTATTATGAATAACCATCTTACATCATGTCGGAGTGAGATTTAAAAAAAAATGTTTTTTATATAAAATTAAATTGCACTTAATGGGCTAAATTAAAGGAGCGTTGTAAAATTCACTTGAAATTACTTATTTATAGTATTTTTTAATTTTTTTTTACTTGAGCACAGTTGACAATAAGTATCTTAACAAATATAATATCCTGATGAAACTATTTTATGATATTGATTATATTTAATATTATAGATAATTAATTTTATAGTTTATGAACTCTCATAAGTAATTTAAATTTTAATGCTTAACTTTATTATTTTCATATAAAATTAAGCTATAATTTCCAAGTCGTTAATTGTATTTTGTTGTAACTAACTCATAAGTGGTCTGAAACCAAAACAAAATTTCGGTTTCAGCTTTAACTATGAAAACTTATTTTTTTTTTTAACTGATTTGAAGTACAGAACACTCTATAAAGTTTTCCCGATATCTATTTTATAATTATAATTATTATCATTTTCAACGCCGTTATATTTCTTATCTTCATTTCGGTTTTAATTTTGATTGTAATTTTCTAAAGGTTTTAACTGATTTCAAGCCCGGTTTGAAACTAAATATTACTTCCAATAACACGTGTGCAGCACCTTATACCATCACCGAGAAGCTAAATGCTTGAAAGATAATGTAAAGTTTCCATTACTCCTGGCGATGATAGGATATAATTCGAAGAAAAAACTTTTAAACGAGAAAGTTGTTTGACTTGTAGAAAATAAAATTGAGCTCTATCAGCTTAACGCAAAAACCGTATTTTTTTCGGTCTTCATTTTTTGATTTTGTTTGTATAAGTTTTTTTATTATTTTTTCTTTATAATTTATATTCCGACAAAATTCGGTTATTTTTTAGTAACCGGCACATATTTTGTATTATTATATTTTTTATCAGAAAAGTTTTAAACAAAACTTTGGTAGGCGTTTAAGGGTAAACGAAAGTAAAACAAAATAATATTTAAATTCTACTATTTTCGTAATTGATTTTTGTTTATGTAATATACTATCATTGAATGATTTCAACCATTCAATAACGACTATTGTTTTGTTAAAAAACGCCATTACAGGTTAGTTTACCACGTCTAATTGCTACTTAACCCTTATATTGTGCAGCTGTATTCAATTATATTCGTTTATTATTAATCAACCAACTCCTTTTTTATGGCAAGTTTGTGCATTTCAGCAAAAATGGCTTGCTTTGTTCTACACGTCCCACAATCTCTCCTTATGTTTAATTATTACTTATTTTAAACACTTGATTACAATTTTTTTCATAGCAAATGTTTTTTTTTCAAAGAACATATTTTATAAAAGTACGAATAATTTGTTTTACTTAAAATTATATATAATGTTGAAGTTAAAAAAAAAATAGTTTTTAAAAATTTACTCTTAGTAATAAAAACTGTATCACGAGATTATGTTGAAAATTCATACCTAGTTTTATTTCCATTATAATAGAAAAGAATACTTTTGGTTAAATACATTTCATTAAAACACTTCTTTCAAAGCTATGATTAACGTAAGAGAAAAGAGTTCAGTTACAATTTATGTTGTTAGATGGGAACTCGTATTGGTAACATTTCAAGCTCAGTTCTTGAGAAAATCTCATATACACAAAAGGCCTACTTAAAAAGCTTCTTTTTATCGTCCTTCGTACTTAGGAAAGCGGTTTTAATGATTTTTTTTTACTATTATTGTGAATTATGAGTACAGGCAAAATAATAAGTAAGTCCATTTTTTTCTAAATTAACTACCTCGGTGATACAATACATTATTCATAAAGGTCTTTGAGACCATAAAAAAAAGTTTCAAAAGCCTTAGACACGGGGATTTATAGGAATAAATAAAGTGTTCATGCTTATGAAGTAAAAATATTGTAAAATCAGTAAACTGTAAAAATACAAAATAGAGGGTAATCAATTTAACGCAAGACATCCAGTTTCTCGGTAAATAATTACACATTTGTCGTTTTTATATTTTTTAAAAACCTTTTTCTTTATGTCATTATACAATATTATAAAATGACTAAATATTTATATTTTTTAATATTTTCCAGAGCGCTATCAACTTTTGAAACTTAAATTGGATGGTATATATTTGATTAACTTTTTAAAAGAACAATAAATTACCAAATATTTTGGATCAACAACCAGTTTTGAAAAATTGCTTTTAAAGTAATAAAAGTTTAGGATAGAAGGAAGGGTGAAGTGAATTATTACTTTGTCGTGCAAGTTACTCAACCGCACTACACATCCTTTTCGCCTGAATAATTCTTCTAATTATATTTATTATTTTATTTATCATAAATGATTTTAATTCTTATATAGCTTATATATAATGTCCTTAAAGAACTTGTCTAACAAGAAAAATTAAGAGTTGACACACTATTAGAGAGCTCTTGGTACTTTTTAAAATATTAAATACTTTTTAAATATTATGTTGCAGTCAGAATTGAGCATAAAAAAGAGTGGGCACTGTAATAATTTTAAACATGTAGAAAAATATTAAATTATATTATAAATATATAAAAATGATTTTACAAATGTTTACAAGTGTTTTTTTTAAATTGTATTTCTAGTATTTAACTAGTACAGTACAAGAAAATAAAAAAATAAAAACCTTGTTGCCGAGTTGCACAAAACTTTGCTGGTTCCATAAATCGTAATTGAACCAAACACAATATTCCAATAGTGGTTTATAGAACTAATACAGTTTTGTGCAGCTCAGCATTTTAGTTTGTTAGAATAAAGTGGGTTTTTTGTGAATAGAGATAATTGAACACAAGACAGGTATTTCAAATAAAAAAAGAATGCCATAATATTTTAAAAATAATTGTATTGATAGCTGAATTATGTTTATTGTATTATTAATATTATTATATATATATATATATATAAAAGTGTATAAAAGTATAAATGTAAAATGTGTGCTTCAATCCCTTCTATAAATTAAAATTACTATTCAACATTCTGGAAAAGAGTATAACTCCTAAATTTTAGTTTTGTTAAATTTAAATAAGCGATAACACTCAACTACTCACAGTTTGCAAGTATATAAATGTGCATTTTAATGAAAAATTACATTTTGTAAGTTACTTACAAAATACTTTGAGACAATTAAAAAAAAAAAAATTGATGTACTTGAGAAAATCTGAGTTTAAGTTCAGATTCTGCGAACGAAAATCCTAAACAATTTATAGATTTGTTAAAATATTGTAACATAACTAAGATTAATTTAACTATTCATTAGGTATTTAGTTCTATAAAATTTAGGTGAGTTTTATCCCAAAAATGATACCAACACTATTCAATAAGGGTTTTCAAGGTGATTTACACTCTGTCTTCAAAGTTTCCCTACCACGTCAAGTTCTCGAGAAAAACATGTAGTTAAAAAACCTGAAAACTAGACATTAAAAAACATGTTTTCCATTGGATGATCACTAAATTAAAAAAAACTCTGAATTAATACCTCATGAAAATCATACCATAATCTCTTTATCAAAAATTAGCTAGCAAACAGACCCATATATTATTTTTTATACATATAAACACTTTTAATTTTTAAATGGTGCTATAAGCAGTGCCGTGTGCCAACTGTCATTAACGCCCTAGAGCAATCATATTTTGCGCCCCTATTTACCGTGTATTTAACATGAATTCATATTTTTTGGCACCCCTATAATGTATGGCACCTTTGGCGCCTAAAGGCACTTGCCCCCGTTGCCACCCCCTTAGCACGGCCCTGACTGTCTATAAGTGTTAGTGTATATTTTATACTTTTAGTATATATTTAAACGTAATGACAAATGAAAAATGCATTATCTGGTTTAATATGCAATAATTTTTGAAGTTTTATTATAAAATATCTCCAAGGTGACTTGCCCAAGACCGGCGGGATTGATGTACAATAATGTTGCACCGATGCACGAGACGTTTGCGTTTTGCAAATACAGGCGCATTGTGTACGGTAATAAATTGGCCGGCCGGTCGGTCATCAGCGCCGTCCAAAGTGGCAGCACTGGGCGGCGACAACGGCGAGCGGTCCTAGCGACGACGTGACATATCGATTGGCGCCCTTCCTGTCCAGCAACGGACCGCCGTTGCCTCGGCCGACTCAATCTCGTTGTAAGCGCGGCGCCGGCTGGAGGTGCCACAAGTGTGTATCTCGTCGACGGCATGTCGATCACCGATCGCGGTCAATGTGCCGGGTCCGCCGACATGTCGGCCGACTCCATCCAACAGCAGCAGCCGCAGGAGCAGAAAATCGGTGCACCCACTGTGCCGATCATCGTGGCCCCTGGGTGCTGCAGCATGACACGGTCGCCGTCACGTGACAATGACCTGTCGCAGGTGCCGGGTTCCTTGGGTGCCAACGTGGGACGGGGGTCTAGCCCCAATCCGGACAACATGAGAATGTACGCCAAAAGGTAAGCATGATAATTCAAAAGTACACAGTGTGTATTTTTAAAAAAAAAAAATATTCAAAATTTACTAACTCAATCTTTGAAAAGCGAAACGACCGTTAATTTAATAATGTTTAAAAAATAAAACGAGTAGTATAAATTAATATACTTTCAATCATGTTCGTTATTAAAAAAAAGAAAATATTTTCTATTACTTTAGTACTTAGTATTATAATATTGTATATACTATATATCGATGGTTTAGTGCACAAAATATGTAATATAAATGCACTTTTTCGGAAATGGAGTTATTTATTTATCTACTTGCCAAAAACGGACAACCCCCTACTTAATAAAATATAATATAGTAGTTATATTACATTATTTAGTTGTATGCATAATAATAATCATTAAAGTAACTTATTAGTTATTACGCTAAAAAAATATATAGAAAAATTAGTGCAGAACCAATTTAAGAAAAATGTAATGACTGATCCTCATTGATGAGGCGTAATGTATGATTAAGATGTGAATCACGAAATAATTTAGAAGATAAGAGGCAAAAATATAAATAAAAGACACTTAAGTACGGCCTCTTACACATTGTGTATAAATATTGGAAGCCGTTAGTTTATAATTTTACCGTTAGAGAACTTAGAATATTATTAAATACATAATTTATAATAACATGACATTATGAATTTTCAAATACCGTTCCTAAAAATGTTCAATATGCCTTTGTTATTTAATTGTTGGTGTTACTAATTTAAAAAAAAATCGGTGAACGGTTTTCTCAAAATGGTATAAGTATAAATTAATACTCCGTTGATTAGAGTACCATTATGTGAATTTCACTGCATAATAATTTATAAAGCCTTTAATTAATACATTTTACGATCGCTATGATAATATAATAGCATTTTAGTTTATATATATTGATTTTGGGTTAAATTATTCATTCGGTGTAATTAAATGTACCGGGGCATTGAAAAAAAACAAGCTAGATTTATTTAAATTCATGATGGCCATAGTAATAACGCAGTAATTAGAGTTTGGAAGTTCAAATACAATTATACGTTTTACCACCCTTTTATTGTGTTGGCAATTAGAAAGTTTTATGTAACTCATTTCGGTACTTTGATTATCGAAATTGCCATTACATTATAACTTTTATTGTAACAACGCTGATCGATGATAACTAATTTAAGAGTGGATTCAGAGCAAAAAACTTTTTAGGCGAAGAATTATAAAACGTTCTCTTAACGCAATAAATTGACAATATAAACGCGTTATTGCCTTGTCCTAATTAATTGTTGTAAATTAATGCAAAACGATCGAGGCCTAAGAATTTCAATCGTTAAAACATTAATATATTTATATTTTCTTAAAAAAACACTTACTTGAGAAATTACCAAACTTCCCTCTACAGTCAAATATTGACGAATCAACAATTATTTCAGTATTTAGCTTCTATATATTTTCCAAGTTGGCTCCGAGGGTAATTATATTAATACTACAATAATTAATAAAGTCAATTTGAAACGTGCTCGGCCAATGAAAATATTTAAATTCGACAAAAGTGTAGAACCAGCCGGTTAACACGTTCACATATTTGTGAACGTCGATGCTTTTTACATAACAATATATTGCAATACTTTGAAAAACAGATAAATATTGTGTGGAAATTCATCTACGATTGACTAACAACAATAATAATATAAAATTTTCGTTTTCCTAGTGCGTAAGATACGTTAAACATTTACTTTGTCAGAATTCCTTTAACAAAAGAGGTTAAAAGAGGATAAATATTTTAGACATAATATTATATGCTCTACAACCGCTTTACATGTCAAAACGATGTCCGATACATTAGTTTTGACATTTTATTTGTAATATTGTGATTGATGGATGCCTCCTTTTGCCGCAAGTTTGTGTGCTGTGTGGAGAACCTTCTTTTCCTTTACCTCACAACAGCTATACCCATGTAATATTATTATCGTCGCATCGCATTGTTGTTTTATTTGTAAAAAAATGATTCGTGTTATTATAATTGAACGTCGGGTTTATCTAAAAAATGTTGCCTTAGTTCTTTGACTTTATTTCAAACAAACAATCAAAACCGCACGGGTTCATAGGTTCACATTGATATTAATTCAACTCTGTTGACCAGTTAAAGTAAACGTTTACCAGATTTCTAACCGTCGAGTTACATAATATTATGTCTTAAATGTTTTTAAAGGTATACATATTTTGTTCAACTAACGTATATGTGAAGTATAGTTAACTAATTATAATATTGTTTTAGGCAGTTGTTATTTCATATTGAAATTTTTATGTATTTGCTTTCAATTAAAACCTTATACAGCTGTCAATTGCAACTAATGATTATTTAATTTTTACTCGCCTCAATTACATTAGTTATTATTCTATTGTTGCAATATTAAAATAACAATATTACACCATATAGTTTGGTGTGTTTAAATATGATAGGTATTATAATATTATTATCAGTTTAACGAACGAGTTAACTGTCAATATTCACAAAAGGGTCGAAAATCGTTTATTAAGTCGTTATAATATGAGAGATTATGTCGTGTGCGTATGATTTTCATTATTTGTGTATTTAAATACTAATCTAAAAGCGATTACACCCGAACAGCTTAGCAAATATAAACAGAGGCTTCAACCGTTTTCATTAGATGGCAAATTTGAAGTTTTAACCGATAATTGCCAACAATCGGTCACACAGTCGTGGATTAACACTATTTAAATATATTGTATATATTTTTGTGTTCAATGGTGGATATTGAAATTTGGACGGACCACATTGAATCAATATGTTGGCGGTCGGTTTTGACCATAATTATTATCATACCTAATCAGTATTGTGTCAGCTATGAAAAGACTTGTCAAATAGTCAACAAAATATATTATTATTATATGCAATAATATTCTAGATCACTTGTCTTGTATTAATTTGATAAATATAATATTATTTTTCCTCTATAGCAAACAGGATACAATGTATATTATTCAAATGAGATGTTTGTTTTAGCATCAAATTATTCGAAGCAAACATTAATTTGTTGATAAAGTACTCAACAATTAAAATATGAACCCATGTAGGGTATCCCATGTAGGACATCCGAAAAAGAAATTCTACTTCTATAGTTCTATCAGTAAAACAAAGCGTAAACACAGCTAGTAGAGTTCAACATTATTTTGTCGATGACTTAAATAACGTGACTAAAACAAAACAAAGTTGTAACCATTTCATCATATAGAACCAATAAAAGTTTTGAAAGCTGACCCAAACATCGTGTCTTCCAATTATTAAAGTTAAAAAAAACTAATCTTAACTTATAGTTTGCTTGGTACGTGTTTGAAATTCTTAACAACTTTTACTTAAATAGTATAGACAAAAGCTCTTACATATACTAAGTTATATCCAAAGAACATACCTGAGCTGTCGGTAAAATTACACTTACACGCTTAAACATAAAATTATATAATTGTTATATTGTTTTTTTTTTAAATATTTGAAACTTCATGCTTATAGTTTAGGCAATAAACCATAATTATATGCAGCTATTCACGCCTTATTTTAGACATTAAGATATACAATTGTGTCGTATGTGCCTTATTTTACTTATTTTTTTTTAATAATTAGTCTTCTTGTTGTTTATATTGTTATAAGTTTAATGTACACATGTTTATTTTAGCTTCCTCGCTGATAGTGGCCAAAAGTTCACAAAACTGTGGTCGTTAAAGAAGTTCGACATAAAGCTATTTATACATCCAATCATAACTGTAAATCCTAAAGCAATAAAAGTAGTTCGTCAAAATTCATATTCGATTTATAGCAAAGAATGTGTTTGTTTTGTAACAGTAATATACAATTATTTTGTTTCAAGCAAGATCACGTTTCAAACGCAAGCCATGTTGACATTGAGGGTAACCGAAAATTAAAATTATTTTCTTGTTCTTCAGAAAAACAAGTAGACAAGATAATAATAAAAGTAACGGATACTATCAATTGTCACGTCTCGATATAAATTCACCACTGCGGAGCGAGACAATTAAGTACACAACAATTTTCTACCAGAAGATCGACAATAATATTAATAACTTTCGAACGCCGTCAAAATATTATGACAAAGTTTATGATAATTATTACAGTTGTAGTTGTTGAACAATTCGGCGTGCAGTTTTGGAGCAATAAACAATAATATGTATAACTGTATTCGACGAGACGACCTACTTTATCAAGTTGATTTCGACCAAATGCCAGATTACTTAACTTGGGTCTATACATCATTGTGCAGAATAGCAATGTTATTATGGTCTAAGTTTGGCCAGAGCGGTGGAGTTTATCGATTTCCCAGCGGACTAATTAACAACGGCCGATCGACGTCTATACCAAACTAACAACATTGTTTGTTGGGATGAATTTTTTTTTTTTTACTTGGTGGCAGACCGTGGCCAGGTGCTAATAATATTATGCCTTCTAACCGGTCTCGGGAGGATTGCGAAAGGTCCAAACTCACTTAATACCCTCATCAAGTTTAATGCACTCTAAAAGGCGTTAACTGCTCCCGTGCGACCGTTTCGCTTATGCAAAGCTCTGGAATAAATTTACCCGGTGCCGTACATCAAAGTAAAATGTCCCCCCTTTCTCTGTTTTGGCGATGATGCGTTCAACTAAACTTGTCAAACCTTTGTCGCACACAACTACGGACTTGCCCCAGTCCCTTTCATATCATAATATTTTATTCATTCATTCAATTTTAGAATCCGGCTGTGAATTTCCACTCTACCGTCGCGTGGCCCGCCTGCTTTTTTAGACTACTTTAAATAATTGATAAAAAAGTTCTTTTTTTTTTTGGTTTGTTTACTTATTATATTTTATTCAACGCCAGACTTTCGCAGAATAACACGTCAGTGAAAACCCCATAACGAATTCGTCAAAAACACACAAGTGAGTCGTCTCAAGTAGAATATTGCACGACAATAGAGTAATAAGA